CTGCTGCAGCGCAAGGATGGGGCTCTTCTTAAGCTGGTCAACCAAAACGATGCTGCTACCGTCAAGTTCCTCAAAAAGATCGCTTCCGAGAGCTACATGCGCCGCAACAAAAGGGACTCCTTTACGATAGCAGAGGAATAAACGGAGGAGTGAGCAGGAATCGCCTTCAAATGCAGGATCAAACTCACGCAGCGGCTTTCAGAAATCGTACTGCCTCGGAGAACAGTCAAATTCGGTTTTATTGGTACGAAAAGTGTACGATAAAGTGTATTTACATAGCAGTAGATTTACACTAGTACTAATGATAGTTCGGCACTTAAAACGAGGAGACTCTGACACACGCGCGCACACACAGGATTACAAAATAGTTGTATATATATATGTAGGTAATATATCAAAACTGTAAACTTGTTGGATAGCCTAGGATGATGGTAAACATTCCATTTAAAATAACATTAGGTATTGACATGTATGGGGTAAAACTAGGATCAGAAACAACACTCTGATATGCTCTCGAATGGAAACAGAACGTTCTTTATGTAAGCTATACAAATGCCATGCTATGTACACAGAACGCTAAAAGAAAACAAAAATAAATACGGTCAAACCACCACATCCGACTCGGCGGGCAAAGCCGCTTCTTCCTGCTATTCAATCCGTATCCGATGCGATGCGCGGCGCAGTGCGGCGAACTCCTTGAAGACCAATCGTCCCAGCAGCACCATGGCAATGATGTCGGCAGCGATGAGCATGTGGAAGACATACTGCCATCCGGCGGTGGAGATAAGTCCGGCTAGCAGCGGACCAACCGCCGCTCCGATCGACCCAGTTCCATCGATAATGGCCGTCACGGTGGCCAGAGCATTGGCATTGCCCTCCAGGCAGCTGTGCTGGCCCAGCTCCGCACTCACAGACGTTGTGATCAGAGCATAGGGTCCATTCACAAAGATGCCGACCACAATCAGCAGCACTACGCTGATCGTCACAGACAATGCGCCATACTGTTGATACAACAGCAGCTAAAAAGCAGATAGTAGTCTTAGTAATGATGGATTGTGTGCTCTATTTAGGGGACTTACAATGGGCGAGGCAACGAACAACATGCCTGTGCAAACAGTGGCGGACATCCCGCTCACATCCGATAGATAGCCCGCAGCTATAGCTCCCAAAATACCGCCCACATCGAAAAGCGTGGACAAATCAGCCGACAGTTCAGGACCCAAAGTGCCTGCATAAGAAGAATGTATTAATAATTAATGTGATTTTTTTAGATTTTTATGTCAATGGGTGGAATTTGCTACTGACCGTTTTTTAGGGTTCGAACTTTATATTAGTTTAGATAGGGGTTTACTTTTAGGAATATTTTCCTGATACTTACTGGATTTCTGAATGTAGAGGGGCAGCCAGTACATGAAGGTGTAGCTGACCAGCTTGGTGAAGAACAAACAGAGGGAAAACTCTACCACTCCGGGTATGAATAAAGCATCGATGAGGCTGATGGGGCGACCGTGTCTCCTGGGCTGAGGATCTGCTTGGGAACGAGCAAGGATTGGAGTGCGCTCGGTGGGCGCCGATCTATAGTTGATTTCCTGCAAGCATGAGACAAATCAGTATTCTATCTAGAAACAAGAGCCGAGCTAAGCGCGAAATTTACACAAGCGAACTGGCCAACAGAAGAAGGAAAGTCATGCACTTACGGTTTCCGGCGACTCGTACCCCAAACTGACCACAAACTACCGCCGAGCAAAGTACGTTTTAGAAATCAAAATCGCAACATAATGGGGAGACCGAGTGTAATGTACTTCGCATGCGGAACATCAATGTGGAAAAGTGTGGAAGTGATACTTACGGCATCGTTGTGGCGCACCTGCTCCTCGTCGTCCTGTTCCTCGTCCGACTCGTTGGCCACGCGTCGCTCCTGGTGACCGGAATCCGGGTAAATGCCCACTATCTCCGGCTGGTCCACCAGGAAAAGGAAGAGCAGGAAGCCCACGGCTCCAATTATGATGCCGGGCACCACAAAAGAGAGCGCCCAATCGCTCTCCACGTAATGCGCCGCTATCAGCGTACCCAGAATATTTCCAATGGACGTGTGACTGTTCCAGATGCCAAAGATCAAGCCACGCTTGGACTTTCCAAACCAGCGTCCCACCAGCGCCACAACTCCTGGCCAACCGGTCGTCTGGAAGATGCCGGCGCATATTTGCACGATCACAAAGTACCACAGACTGTGGATATTGGAGGTGCGGGCAATGCCGAACATATAGGTGAACACTCCGGTGAGGATCATGCCCATGGAGAGGAAGTATCGCAGGGAAACTCGCTCTGCCACAAATCCGGATGCGAACATGGCAATGGCGTAGGAGAAGAGGAAGGCCGAGTCCAACATGCCAAAGAGCGTGGTGGCATCGGGAACATCTGTGAATTGGTCACTTGGTTATAAAGTTATAGGAGATGATTGATAATAAACTAACCGAAGGGCGCATATCCACATTCCTGACCCGAAGCGGCCAGCGCGGTGGAACAGTTTCCTTGGAGCACCGACTTAACCACCGAGATGGGCTTGCGGCACATGTGGTAGCAGGCGTAGGCCAGGAAAGTTAGCACAAACACAGACATCTTGTAGCTGGAAAGCAAATTAATGATAAGTTATTGTGATTTTTGGTAGAAAAGGTAAACTAAGAATATGGAATCTTTAAAAATTATATTGATAATAATATAACACTATGATAACACTATCAACGATTTAAGAAATTAAGCTTTATAATTGATTTAAAATGTTTTACAAACATTTGAGATATTCATTGAAGCGGAAAATGAAAAACAACTCCGATATTAAAGAGTTTAATGAATCAGTCGGAGTACTATAGCATTTTGTATGGAAATGATCCGATAAATGTTTTGAAAAATTCTCTAAATATTGCGCTAAAAAATTTCTAGATAGAACGAGATAACCCCCTAATGGGGGATCAAAAAAATAAATTCTTATAAACAAGATTTATCATCTAGTGATTATATGTTATTAAATACTTGTCTTAAAGGACTCTATAGCTAGGACCTTCTGGGAAGGATCCATATACTCACAGCAAATAAATAATTTCTTATAAACATGAAATATCATCTAGTGATTACATATTATAAAAAACTTTTCTTTAAGGACCCTATAGCTAGGATCTTCTGGAAAGGATTTGTATACTCACAGCAGATCCCTGCGTGCATGGAAGCGGGTGCAGCATTGGCGGGACAGCCGCTGGACCGCCCGGATGCCGAAGGGCACGTCGTTGTAGTTGTTGCTCATCTTTCGCGTTCTGGCCAGTCCCAGTGGAGCTCTCATCGACCGGCGCGGGCGGTGGGCGAGGTGCAAGTGCTGCTCGTCCAGGTGGCTGGGTTCCCGTTTCCGTTGCGGTTCCGAAAAAGCCAGCTACCTGAAAGAACAAAGATCAACAGGTAGGTGGTGAGTGATTTGTCTCTGGGGGTGACTCAGTTCGAGATACATTTTCATTTGTATAAAGGGGGCTGAAGATACAGGTAGTTAAAAGAGGAGGAGTAGAGTGGGTCGCGGTTTTCTGCTGAGGCCGTGGAAATCGAGTGCGGATACAATATCCGACCTTATCGCCATATGTTTCTGTCGCTGTAGTTTTCTTGTTTGCGTCGCCGTTCAATTCGTACCGCTCAAAACAATGACGCGCCGTATCGCAGTCGTTAAATAAAATGCGTTTCCGCTGGCTTCACTATTCTGCTGTGTTGGCGAAAAATTTCCCACTTTGATAGTAGTGCTCTCGGGCATGTGATATGGGATAGCAAGTACTTTATCACAAATAACGCCGTCAGTTACCTTATTTATAACGATATCACGATATCACGCCCCTTGATCATAATACATCCAACAGTTTATTTACTTTTCGTAACACTTTTCCGCTAGAATTTACAGAGTATCCCAGCGTCGACGTGTGCCGGATATGTAACTCTTTTGTTTGTTGTCGCCCCCAAAAAAATGGTAAATCTTGCGGAAGCTAACACATTGCTTTGGATTCAACAGCACGACATTGAAATACAGCGTTCAACCTTTATTATTACCGTTAAACACACACTAAACAGCTGCAGTAAACATTACTCCGTCGGAAAAATAACAAAATAAACTATATCGTTGGCTGTAAAAATATACTTTTTATACCGTTGTCGTTTATTCAAATATACCAAAGATATACGGTCATATTCCTGAAAGGGTAGGATGGTGTCTTCGCTGCACCAGGTGGTTGCCTTTGCTAACTGTCAAACAATCCAATTTTACGTTTTTTTGAAATTTAAATTGAAATAAACATTGATTAAAAAGACTTTGTTATTTTACATTTTAAAATATAAAGGTGAATGCTTAAAGAATACAGATTTGTTACGAGTCATAACTAAAAATCCATACTGGTAATTATATTTTCATTACCAATAAATATTCAAAAATTAAAGAGCCCAACTAGTTTTGTTTTTTAGTGCATTAATTTTATTAACTCGTTGATGCGCCATATGTTTAGGTAATATTTGGGATCCACCATTTGCCTTCAAATTTGCCTTTGCAATTAGACGTTGACACCTGATCCCGGAATTACATTTCCTGAGATCACGGGCTAATTATTTCTTTTGACACGCGACCGAATCAACAAATAAGAATTAGTCATTATTGAATCCAGTTTGTTGACAACAGAGACTGGCAGCTGAGGAAAATACAGAATTCCGTGTGCACATGACCTGGCTTTTCAATCAGACTCGACTGAGAGCGGAAAATGGCCTGGTTTTCATCACCAATACGCTAATTTCCTCCGCCTGCAGTGTGAAAATCAAGGCGAGAAGCAAGAACAATTGGAGGTGCTAATCACAGCGAGCAAAAACATTTTGCCAATTGTATAAATTGGGAGACTCAGCCAAGTTAAGCCACACTTGACAACCTGCAGTTTAGCTAGAAACAAGTTAATATTGATAACAGAAAATATAGTAAAAAACCTATCAAAATGCAGTACAACAAGGTAAGTGCTGCCAATAACATCTAAGATTTATTCGTTTTAATATAAACTTTTTTGCATTTGGAAAATAGATCATCTTTCAACTGATGGCCTGCTTTGCGACTCTTGAGCTAGTGCTTGGTTATCCCCAGGAGCGAATTAATTCAGCGGAACAGATCCAGAGATTAAGTGACGCCAACGAGGGCGAAAATCAAGCACTAACATCCAGTGAGGTCCTCGAAAACCTCTACAGATATGAGAGAACTTTGAGCAGATTGCGAAGAGCTCTGGAGGAGTTGGCCTATGAGGAGGCGGCTGATGACATGGAGCTTGCCGAGATCAATGTATTCCGACCCCTTTTCCGCTATCGATCTCAGGTGGTGAAGGTAAAGAATCCCCAGCAGCAGCAGTTTGGCTAACCGGTTAATTAAACTTAGTAATCTCGTTTTAAGTCAATTCATCTCGACGCATTTTCCAAAAACTCACCATCATACCATTGATATTTTTTTTACAAACATAGCCTCTTAAGAAATAAAACAAGACCTATTTATATTGTTAAACATTTAAATATTTTATTATTTTATTGTTGTAGAGCCTAGGCGCTTTGCAAATATCCACACGTGATTAAGCATATGTACACACCAATCTATATAGTTCTCATTAGAGTAGATTTTTTCATGTTTCCACTTTGAGCACATTACATGAAGGCTTTGTGGATGACACGCGAATTCCTTGCATTGCACTATTTTCGGAAGGATCCCTAATATAAACACATCGAGACGCACACATACATATTTGACTAAGGAAGACACAAAGAATATTGAATTCTAATTCTACATTATAAACATACGATGGACACTCATCTAGGGTTATGTTATATTTTATATTCTGACTAGGCAGCTAACTAACTCTCGATTAAAGACCCTGTAAGACTCCCCTTAGCTGCGAAAAACGAAAACAACAACCCGATATAAACACACACGCACACTATATAAATCTAATATGAAAATCTTTCGCCTTGGTTTACATATATCTTGTTTTATGGAAACATTTTGCACACCTTCTTTTTCCTTGTAAATAGTTAAGCCGCTAGCCAGCTTATGAAAAATATTTCCCCTACTCGTTCATGACTTAGAAAAGTTGCTAAAGTTGCTAGTTAAGTACATAAGTAGTGTTGTTCTCTGTTTAGTTAAGTTTAGTAATTAGTATTTTTGGTTTTGCTCCTTTCGCTTGGTTCCATTAAGTTGCTCATACGCATGGTCGCTGCTAGCGTTGCATATGTCCCTATGTTTTACATTAAATTTGATTTAATTTTTGATTATCAGGCTTACGTTAGACATTACAAATAGCTGGTTGAACAAACTCGTAAGTATGCAAATGGTTGTTTACAGGCGGATTGGGGATTGGGCATGGGAGATTGGAGATTGTAGATTGGAGAGCTTCGAACCGTCGAAACCTGTTTACATATTAGATGAGCCCATCTGGTAGCACTTAGAGATAAAGCTTCTGCATCTGCTGGTTATACACACATATATTCACATATCGACACACTTAGTCGCTAAGTATATAGACTTATGGTTTTGGTTGCTCTCTGCTTTTGCTTTTGATTTTAGAGCACCTGCAGGTTCTCGCAGTGCTTGAACTTGGAGTCCTCCTTGCCCAGGATCCAGGTGAGCATCTGGCGGGCCTTCATGCTAGCCAGCATCACGCTGCGGCTCTTGTACCAGTGCGCCGGCGAATTGGCATCCCTCGGCCCCTGAAATCCAGTTAAATGTCAGATAAATCAAATTTACTCTTTTCACAAGAAGAAAAACCGAATGCTTAAATGGAAGGAAAACAGGCTGGGTTTTTATGCTTCGGTTTATTTACATTTACATTTGGCTCTCTATTCAACTGCATTTTTATGACCCTGCAATACAGTTATTCCATTTCGGGCGCCAATTGAAGTTTGCATTTTTCATGTTCTTTGTGCGAATTCTTGGGGGGTGGGCAAAGGATAATAAACAACAAACAAACAAAACACTTTTGGCAGTATGCTCAGAATAGTTTCTGTACTTTCGGACACTTGACACATTTTCCCTTGTTGGCAAAAGCTGGCAGAAATTGTTTTGGCAAAAGATCAGGGGGTGGGATGGGAACCTTTTACATATATAATGAATAACAGTCCATAAACAGGGAGTTACAACCAAGAGGTTATTGGTTTTCACAGTTAAAGTGTCTAAACGAAGGATGTACAGTTTTATTTGGGTTGCTAAAGAAATATCTAGTGAATTGAAATCACCTAATTTAAGCCTAAAAGTATGCTGTAAAAATTCAACTTTTTAAAGCATTCTTTCAGACACCTTTATAAGTGAAATACGACTTTAATAAATACATTTCTTTAGGTTTATCCATGCCTTACTAGGTAAAGGGTAAGGTTTTGAAACAACACATTAAACGTCAATTAAATTCAGTCCGAACATTAACTAGTTAAGGGTTTGAAGAGGGATTTTTTTGGTCGGTTTTACATACAGTTTTACTTACCCCTTCGACGGCTCTAAGATCAGTCAGACATTTATCAGTTTCTACAGTCTCTACGTTTGTATTTTCTCTAAATTTGCTTTTATCTTTTGATTTTTTCGGATTAAGCTGCGAAAGCGATCGATGGACATTGATTACAAAACACCAAAAACAGAGATAGATTGGGAGGACAACTAGCTAACCACTGGCTAACTGTTACGGCAACTAGAGCTATAAAGAGCTACAGCTAGACCTATGGGATCTGTTTTTTTCTCTATATGTTTTTTTTAAGGAGATTTGGCATACCTGCAGCTGAACCTGGTCCTTCTTCAGCCGAATCTGGGTGAGCGTGCCGGCCAGGAGCTCGTCGCAGTTGTGATTGATGCCCACGGAGACCTCGATAAACTTGGCTCCGAAAGTGCAGGCCACACATTTGCCATCTGGAAGAGGAGGATGAGGATTTCGATTCGGATTCGCTTGGGTCACGCCACTTAATTGACGATGCAAATGAATGCAACGACTTTGCGGCAGCGGCTAATTGCAATACTCACCCTGGGCGGAAACGGCGCGTGAGCGGGCCAAATCAATTTTGTTGGCCACCAGGATGGTGGGGCGGTGGCGCAGCAGGTCCATGTCCTGCAGCCGCGATAGTATCTGCTTGGCCCGCGTGAAGGACTCCTTGTCAATGCAGGAGTAGACCACCAGAAAGGCATCCGCCTGCTCCAGTTCGTCCTGCAAAGCACAATAAAGAAAATAGAAAATAAAAACAAAATTGAAACACGCGGAACTCAACAAGTTTACAACATTCTGGGCTCTGGGCCTTCGTGACTGCCAAAAGTATTTAATGCCGTGTTTTATTGCAGACCAGTGGAGGTGAAATTAAAAGTTCTTAACTGCGCACCGTCAAGTGCAGGCGTTGAGCGAAAAGTCGAGCATCCATCCAACTCAACACGGCCCTGCCTTCCTTTCCTTGCCTTTCCTGGCTTCCTTTTGTTACCCGCCACTTTTGCATTTTATGCTCGTAAAAATTAAAATTATGGCCACTTGGCATCGCAATAACGTGGCGAGCGAAGGGAAAAAAGTTTCCGACTTGCCCAGACTTTTAATGATGGTTATTTATCTGGCCCATACATTAACAGGTCAGCGGAACGGCTCTATCGGCCAGGTCCTTCGAATTTTGCTTTTAAAGGTGCAAATTCATTAGTATTTAAAGGTGTATTGATACAGGGGCATGCTCGGATTTCCACTCTCTTGGACTTGGTTTGTAGAAAATGTATCATTTTATAATTATTATAAATTAATTATTATAAATTTCAGGCCTCGAAAATTGTTATGAAGGCTTAAGTGTTTAAAAAGGAACGTTTTTGGATATTTTAATTTATTGTTAATATTTTATAAATTATTGCAGTTTTAATTTGAATAAGTTGAATAATTCGCTAAGTCGTAAGGATATAATTTGTTATACTTTTTACTGCACGGCTTTTTGAGTTTTAAAGGATATCGAGAGATTTTAAAAGGAGTTTTCCCTTGAAAGCATCTTTATTATCGTATTAATATTGTGAACATATCAATAATTTTCAACCTTTAATGGTTTTAGAGAAATTTTAATCAAATTAAAATGATAATAGTTTTCTATAAATCCATTATTTATTCATTTCACTTTCCCAACATTGGCGAAAGTGAAAATCGGTAAAGCTTCGATTTTCATCTCGACATCCCAGGATTCCTGGCGAAAAGGAAAACCAAAAAAGGTTTTGTAGTCGACAGACGTCTACCTTCTGCGGTTCCTCGGGGTATTTGAGCTGTCCAATCCTTGGGCAAATACACTCTGTCTGCGGTGACGTCGGCAGGTTTCTTTCTTGCCCCGGGGCGCTGGCTTCCGATGCCGTGCCTCATAAAGCCACGCCAGGCACATCCGCATTCGCATCCGACATTTGTAAATTTGGCACTTGGCAGTTGGCTCCAAGGTGTCCTGGGATTGGCGGAGGCTTAAGGTCAAACCGTGAGCAATTTATTATTTGCTTTTCCACAACTTTTGGCCACCATGCACGAGCGCCTTGGCTTTAATTCTCTTGATTCTTTCCCAAATGGATAAATTCGTAGCCATTTCCTTCTGTTTGTCCTCATCCAAGTCGTCATCAACATCGCCATCACCATCAACGGAATTGGAATCGTCATCGGCGATTATAATTATCATTATCGTGTTCATTTGTATTGTTTGCCACCCTCAAAAAGGCGACGGCAAACGGCCCGTTGGCCATTTGGCAGTCGTCCAGCAATTTGGCATTTCGATTGCACAGTGGCTCATATTGTTGTATTTCTATTTGATTTTCCACTGCTTTCCTTTTCCCTTTTCCCAATTTTTTTTTGGTTTTTTTCCCAGCCGTTGCAAATCGCTTTGGTTGCAGGCGGCGCCCGTCTGGCAGGATTTTAAATGAATTCCTTAAATGATTTCAAGGCAGCCTCCAGCACTCCGTGCACTTTGCCATAATTAACCGCAGTTCGTTGCGAAAGTTTTCATAGTTACTCTCGAGTTTCAAAGCTTTCCATCCTTGTTTGGTTGTTTTTGGGGGTGAGGGTTGGGGTGGAATACCTCTCGCATTTCAGAAACTCATTTTGCATCTGTAATTAATTCACTTTGTGCAATTTATGCTCGCCCGGTTGGCAAATCACTCGCCGTTCCCCCGGGCAAATCTCAGCCAGGACAAGCTCATTTGTCTTGCTGACAGTCAGGACGCCAGGACCTCGGGCTCTGTTTCTCTGCGGTTGGCTGGCCAGTTAATGGTGAAATATTTAACGACAATTACCACACACAAATAGAGACGGCTTTGGAGTCCCCTGACAAATGATTTACCTTGCTGTCCGGATTGCCAGTGAGGAATTTTAGCTCCGACTCGGTGCCATTCAGGATGATTGAGACGTTCTGCTCGGCCTCGTCGCATTCTGGGGAGGAGCAGAGGAAGTACGGGTTAAAATTTCTGATGAATCAGGCAGTGGGGAGCCAATTTAACCTGGTCCATCGTAGGCATTGATGCAGTCCGAGGTGCGAAACTGCGAAACCAGAGCCTGTTTGCCCACGCCCGCCGATCCGAGCATTTCCACGCGATAGAACTCCACCGGCTGATGGTTCTCCTGGGCACTGGCATTTCCGAATCCGTTGCTGCTGCTGCCGCCATTGTACCCGCAACCCAGTCCCAGGCTGCTCCCGCCACCGGCCATGCCCACCAGTCCGCCCCCGCCGTTCCGCGCGTGCATGGGACTGGAGGGCGCCAGGCTGTTGCTCCTCGAGCGTCGGCGGCGAAACGAGTCACCTCGATTAATGATACCTGTAGAGAAACGAGAAACAGGGCAGAAAAAAAGTAGAGTTGTCAAAAAAGTGAATAAAACGTCAGGCATTTTCGTATTCTGACTGCATGTGCGGAGCTTTTGTTAGTCAACCGGGCTAGCGCGGCGTATGTGCAACGTGGATCGACTGAACGACTCGTTGCGCATACGCCACGTAGCCCCGGCAGAAATTACAGTTTCCTGCCGCAAGGGCAACATCAACAATAGTTAATCTGTCTTTTGTGTTTCGCATGTGTTGCCCCAGTTCCTCCCCATTTTCCCTGACCTGTCTGTCTGGGTTTTCCTGCCCACCGTTAGAGAGTTCACATTTTTCGGTCTGAAATTTAAGCGAAGCTTCCTGCTTTTTGCGCCAAATAAATGCCAAATATTTACAATATAATTCGCATATGCAATGAATATTTATGCGAAATTCCGGAGGCATTTTATTTGCTCTTTATACGATAATAAAGCAATTAAAAAGGCATCGAAATTTATTTGGGACAAGGCGTAATGGTTATTTTAACCCATTGCCTTGTTCCGGCAATCGGTTGGGATAAAGCCAAAGAGCTTTTTAATGTTCCCATTAATTCATAACACTGTATTTTACTGAGCTGAACAGTTTATTCCTTAATTTTTACAAGGCACTCTACTAAAAAAAAGACAATATAATTTAAAACTCAATTTTATTATTAAAAAAATAGATTTGTCCTGGGTAAATTTGAATATTTTCCCTATAACCAGATATTAAATAATTTAACAAAATCCCCAGCGAACCTAAGAGCTTTGAAATCAAATTTAATTTCTAAATAAATTAATTGAATGCAGCACAAATCATCTGTGTGATAAACCTGGTGCTTAGCCTCACACACGATTTAATAACACTGCCGAGGGCATAAGAAGTTGATTGACCAAACAAAAGCAGCATAAATCTAGATATAATCTGACCATCTGACATTCCCGTTCTCCCTCCCCAGAAATCCCAGAAAGACAGACAATGCCCGACCGAAAAGGTATTACCCAACGAAGACGGCGAGTCAAGAGCCTTTGAACAACCTGCGGCCGTTGTCATTTATAATCCCTCGGGCCGGTTGATGTGCATATATGAATCAATCTATATATATATACAGACTGTCCGATTTGTTCAGTTTATGCAAGTGTATGCTGTGTACATTTAAAATGTCATAAATAGATTTATGGCCGCCTTATTGCATTTAGCCGTCGCGCGAAATGTGCGCGAGTCTGCGGATATATATAGATGTTCATCGCTTTTCAGTATTCGTTATTCGTTAGGATCTCATCTGCGGTCATTAATTGTGCAAATTGATTTAATGGCCAAAATCGGTCTAAACATTTACATTTGAACACCGAAGGGGGTAAGTTCCCCCCTGGTTTTTGTGTGTATGGATGGGCCGTCATCATTGGAAAGCCATAAAACCATTTTGGGTGGCCATATTTTCTTCTTTTTCCCGTTTCGGTTGGGAAACGGGGATTACGAGGTCTGCGCGTGTGGGAAACAATTCATTTGGAATAGGTGCAAACGGGCAGCAATAAAAATTGCGATTTAGTTTCGTGAAATTTCTCACAATAAATACATGTAGGCGCACATGTGTGTGCAATGTTCATATTTATTTTTAGCCATCGGCTATAATTGAAACTGACTAATCGCTGGAGTAATTGCAGCACTTTTTCACATCTTTCTCGGCCATTCTTCAAACAAATTGTTTTCATTTCACTTGTCTTTGATGTTGGCTTAGCACTCTCCCCTGCTCTTCCCAACCAGTGGCAGCATATTCGTGTGTTTGTTTGCCCAAAGAATAACTGTTTGAGCAAATAAATTGAAAATTTTATTCGCTGATTGATTTAGAGTGGGCCGAGTGTGGCACGAGATTTCGCATATGCTGGCTGCCACTTTTGAGATATGATTAACCGACTTCAAGGTTAGCCGCTTTTTGTTTATGCAAAAATAAACCCGCTTCTATAAATACGAAATGTTTAGCATTTGGCCAAAATAATCTCGGTAAAATGCACACATATATCGTCCCTTTTGGCGCATCATTCAATTACGATTCGTTTCAGGCCCACAGGACAATCAGGCAGACACTCGTGCATTGTCTGCTCGTCTGTGGTTGGCAATTGTATTTATATGGAGAATTCATTCAGGGCGCTTCAGTGGCTGCCACCGCTGACTGACACTCGGCTGGGCAATTCAATTAATCACAAACCATCCACCAAACATATTCGAATCAATGTCGGTCTGTCAGTTTTTCGCCCATTTCGCTCATTTTAAATTTTCCCACTCGTGCCGACCGTAAACACTGTTGATGGATGGATGTGCCTGGGCATGGACCCCTGGGCTGCCTCTTTCCGGGCTTATCCCCACACACTATGCCAACATCTTCAGCGAATTAAGTTTAATTAAATGGCCGCACATGACTCCTGGCAAGACATAACCGCAAAACAAAGCTGCCACTTCTTGGCAAAAACCGAATGCAAGGTATTCCGCTCGTATTTGAAAGCAATTTAGTTGAGCAAACACAGGCACTTCATTGAATTTTAATATGCAGCCTGCTGGAGAACGTGTCCCCAGTCGGTGCTCATCCCCAGTTAGAGATATAACTAACTTTTGATACCCTTTGATGTCACATGCATTTTTAAAGAGGTATTTTTAAACTGCGGGATACACGGAAAAACATTTTGCACAAAATCTGCAAATGTGTATTTTATATAAATTTAAATTTAGAAGTCCTATGGATTGATTCCTTTACAAAAGATTTTAAAATCCTAGTGATCTCTTTACATTTTGAAAATTTCTATTTAAATACTATTTTGAAGTGCTAAAAGCAGGATCACTAAGAGTTCGACTAACTAATAACAATTTTTTTCATATCGAAAAAATATTTTTAAGAATTTAAAATAACAATAACTTGAGGGTATATCATTTAGAAATTTTGTGTGTACCTATATTTAGCCCACACTACTTCCCGCCTAGTTTTTCTTATCATACATCGCATATTCCCAACCCCAACGGAGTCTGTCAAATGGTTCCGGCTCCTCCTTCATGACTAAGTTATGACACCTCGTGCTGTTAATACGCAGGCTTGTCGTCTGTTTGCTGTCATGTCTGCTCAAGTGTTCCGCACTCCGTATTCCGTATTCTGTGTTCCGTGTTCGGAGCTGTTACGGGTGGGCTTAAACACGTACTTAAAGTCTGGCATGCATTTGTGCATGCAAACGCCCACAAGAGCGGGGTGAATGAGCATTGCAAAGATCGTAACTTTAGGGCTGAACACTAATCTGCAAACTACTAAAAAAGAACGATTTTGAAAGTCACATTTTAGCTTTACCAAAGCAAAATCTTTGTGCTCCTCACAATTCTTAAAAAATAAAGTAAACATCTACTCATAATCTTTTCTTATTTGAAAACTTCTTGTTAGCTAAACATGTTGAGAAAAATATTATCTACAGAAAACAAATAAAGTAATTTATTTTCCCTCAACTAAAATTTAATCTACCTCAAACACTCAACTAAAATTTAATCTACCTCAAACACTCAACAAAAATGGATTTAATACCTTTACCAAACATATTTTACTTAGCCAAAAGGCAGTTTAATGGGATAATGTTCAAAATTCAACTGAGCCAAAACAGGTAAACTGGATAATCGATCTTAATTGAATTCAAAACTCCCGAAATTGTTTTAAACTTTCTCGACAAGATATCATCGGCTAAACGCCAAACTTTCAACCAAGTGTCTTACAGTCCCGACTCACACTGTAGTTTGGAATGGGATAACACACAGTGCGTATGTGTAACAATAACGTGACACAAATGTGGGATATAAGAGGAGGAAAAAACGCAGACATAATGGGAAAACTTCACAGGGCTATGCGGTTCTATAAGTGTGTTTGCATATATATACAAGTGGGCATTCATATTCTATGCGGAGTGCCATTTAATGTCACTGATATCTCCTTAACATCTTCGGGTAACAGCCTTTTAAGATTTCAATAAGGATTGCTGCGCTGCGTGTCCCGGGATGAAACTATAATTTTATGCCGCCTGGTGTATGGTGTATTGTGTATCCTGTGTCCCCGAGATGCTGTCCCTGATCCCAGATCCCTTATGCCCGATCCCAGCCGCATTGTTAAGATGTGTAATCCCAGTCATCTGTCCCCCGGGCTTTGTTGACTTTCAATTTTGAAATTAATAAATGCTCCTCTGTGGTCTTCGTAGGAAGGGGAATCCTCAAGTCAACTCACCCCCTTTCGAGGCACTGAAAGTGCGCAATCGGTCCACATCCTCGTCGTCGTCGTTGACGCGCAGGTGATGCATGTTCATGGTGGGCACGTCCAGGAAGGCGTTCGATTTTCTGTGTGCTGAATGGGGCGAAAGAGACAAATTTAAAGAGATTAATTTAAATTGCATAGGGGATTATGCAAAACCAGGAATCATCAAATAGTCTCTCATAGTTGTACATAATTTAAAAGGTCTTTAAAATGACAGAAGGACTAATTAAAAACGATCCATCTCAACCACAAAATGTAGACAAATTCTGATTTTGTTTAGCTTACATTTTATAAAAAATATTTAAAATGAAATTTATGTAATGAAATTTTTTAAAATGAATTATATAACTAAAAGCTGCCAATTTGGACTTAATAACATTTAAACAAAGTTAACAGTTTGTTATTTTTGTTAAAAATACTTTCTTTTCGTCTCTCCCTATGATTTTTCTCCACTATTTTTACACAAAATAATAAATTGAATTTATGCACAAACATTTGCACGAAAAAAAAACCGTAGATAAATATGCGAATAACCCTTCGGGTAAATGCTTCTCCCGCCAGTTCTGCATTATTGATTCAGCCGGTATTCCCTGCTCCAGCTGGCTGACATTTGGACAGCTTTAATGGTTTCCCCATGTCGAGTTGACAGAGCCAAGTGCCACATACGTTGCACACTTGCTGCCCGGGAAAACTGGCTAAACTGGGTCAATGGTTAAGTTCATCGAACGCCCAACGTTAATTGAATCAACATTATTGGAGAGTACTTAACAAAGGGCAAAATGGAAGTATGCACCATCTACTGGCACGGAGCCAACTGTTTCAGCTTCAACACCTCGCCTTAAAGTCCTGCGGTTCTGGTCCTTGGCCTCCACATCTCCCGCTATTTTAGCCACCAAAGCATTTATGGTCAATTTTACATCGCCGCTGCTCTCGTGCGGCGAGCAATTTGGCTGAGAGCTTAGTTTATGCCGCATAAAAGATCAGGCTCAGCACTTGGCTAATTTGTTGCCCTTGTTTTGCCGTTTTGATGGCTCCATCCGGCCATTAAAACCCACAACTTCAACTAACTTGTGTACAAGTGTGGTTAAAATTCTAGTGAACGGAGCAACAAAAAAATGGGCCAAATAATGGCGATAAATAGTAACAAGGCCTTTTGGGCTTTCGAAAAAAGTATGTAGTAGTTGAATAACATTTGCAAAATTACAGGGAACTTAATAAAAATAGTATTATTATTTTAAAAACACTGAAATAAGGGTTTTTCAAAGATTTACATGAATATTCTGCGATTTTTAAGGTATATTTAATAAATAAAATTAAAAAAACTTATTTTAAAAATCAGAACTCAGAAACTTGATATGAAACGTTGATCGATTTAAGGTTATGTTATGCTACCTCGCTATATTTCGAATTTAAAGAGTTTATACTTCCAGCTCTAATTTTCTAAGTTAGACATTTGTCCGAGAGAAAGATTCGTATGCAAAACCAGAAATTTACCATGCGCATATCGATTTTACTGAGACTTCTTTGTTTTTGCAAGCAACGTTTCTTGGTGTAACCTACAATATTTTTCAAAATTCTTGTATCTTACTATACCTACTCCTATTTTATTCACCGCAATTGTAAGTGCTTATCTCCAGCCGTAATTTACTCACCGTGAGGCTGTGGCCTCCGCTGCGATAGCTTACGGCGCTGCGGAGGCGTCTCCGTCTCGCTCAGCCGGGGCTCGCTGGTGCAGTAGCTCCTGGTCTCCTGGAGCGTGTGCTGCTGTTGCTGCTGCTGCTGCTGCGCCTTCGTCTTCTGGCGGACCTGCAAGTGGAAAAAGTAACTTTAAGGCCGGGAACTCAACAACTATTCATCCATCTATCCTTCCATCTCGGCCCAAGGCAATCGCTGTGATTTATGGACTACCACGGGATTTGCCCTTGACGATTGAGTGAGAAATTAAATTGCATTTCTCCCTTGCAGACCAATCAGACCGACACACAAATCAAATTGCATTTGTTTGTCCTTTGGAAAAACAGACGGCAACTGCCGCACTGCCGCCCACCACTTGTCTGGCCGCCAATGGCATAATTTATCGGTTGACTTGGCCTCGCGGCAAGGGCTATTTCTCCTGCTCCTCTGTGATCAGAGCAGCTCAAGGGATTTGCCCCTAAATGTCAAGGTTAAACGCCTCGCCTCGCCTCGGCCACTCCAAATGCAATCAGAACCGCCGCTTGTTTCGACCGCCGCAAAAGTTTCCGGCTTGAATGGAGGAGGTGTCGGTAGATGTAGGTTGCCTGTCCCTGTCCCTGTTTCACATCCTTCATCCTTCATCCTTCAAGCCCACGTCCAAGTGCCTGTCAGGCCGCCTCAGTCTGTGGTGTTCCATTGGAAACCTGCTGGTGACGGGGCGAAAACTAATTTCAGCACCTGTCCCGTCGATGTAAGCCTCTTGTTCAGTTTCTTTGGTCCAGTGTGAGGACCATATTTATAGCCGGGCATGCAAAACGTCCAACTTTGTTAGCCGCTTCCGTTTTCCTTGGCCCAAAAACATGGGCGAGGGCAAACAAAATGATGTGGGTGCTTGGGGCTTGCGACCAATTACTTGGTAATTCGATATTATTAAGTTACGCCGCTTAAGCTGTTGGTATCAATAAATAGCTTCTGCTACGAAAAAGATTGTGGGTACCGATTTAATTGGCATTGACACTTTCAAAACATATTAATCGATTTACAAAAAAACAAAGACGGAGGTATTTAGTATAGGTTTTCAAAATTTTGCAACCCGAAATCTTAAGATAAAAATCATTTTACTCATAGAATATAATGTCTAAATATACGAAATATTCTTGAAATTTTAATCACGTAAACAATAGAGAATTATTTAAGTTTGGAAAATTTCGAAAATGGAAATCTACAAATTCGTTCAAAATATTTTTGAAATGACATTTCAGTAAACACAAATTTAAATTTTATTAAAAGTTTTTATTAGAAACATGTACATTTATTTACACATTTTATTATCAAATCAAAACGTTTGTTTAACTCATAAAATAAATGTTATGATTTTTGCGTTATAATGTTTGGGGTGTGTATGGTGATCAGAAATACATATAGGCTCATAAACCCCCTAAAGGCCGACTAATTCCGCCACTGGTTCTACATAAGGTTTGCCTCATCGCTGGAAAACGGAACGCCGGAAGCGTTCGCTACGTGGCGTCGGCTGTCAAGTGGCCACGGATTTGGGCCACGTTGAGTTTCTGGTCAGTTGGAGAGCCCGGCAAAGCCGCCAAATCCGCAGGAAGGAGGGGGGTGGCATTAGCCGAGCTGTCAGTGTAAAAGTTCCTTGTTTATTTAGTGGCCGCTCTTTTGCGCTTTTTACGGCCGAACCTGGCTACATACATTCTCGTGTGTGTGCATTTATCCTGGCGATTTCATGGGCTCTCGTGACCAGTAATTGCTCTTCTTTCTTGGCCAAATGTTTGCCTGGTCTACTTTGCTGGCTTAATCAAATATTACGGCTGTGCCGGCACACACACACACTCATCTGATCCGCCGGATGCAGTGGTCGATGGACCCTTCCATCGCCTTCTCGCCTCGGAAATTAATTGCTTCCTGGCGTTAGTTCATTGACCATGCGGAGCCCCGTGGAATGTCCTCCGGCGGAGACTTCAATTTGTACCCGCTTAATCCCCAATTAGTCCTCTGGGGCAGCGCTGATAATTTATTTTCTTAATGCGCCCCGTTTTACGGTTAATGCTGTGCGAAACATCAGGGGAATGGGTCTTTCGGATAACGAATTCAAATTCGTTATTAATTTATATTGGCATTTTTATTTTTATGAACTTTAAATACTAAGATATTTATACAAATTGGAATGAAAAGTCTGAAAACTGGAAAACCTCAAAGCGAATTTAATATATAAATCTTTAATATCTTTTCTAGCTTAAATAAATGTAAAAAGAAAACCAGAATCTATTCTCCTAGTTTTCTTTTCTTTCATCAATATTATCATCTTGCACATACTGGCTGCAATTTGCTTTCTTGTGCTGAAACTTTTGTGTCGAAAATCGCAAAATATTTTCCTTATTCGTGGCTGTCGTCTGTCTGGCTCTGTTATTTGTTGGTTTTTGTCGACTATTTGCATAGAATAGAAGACGTCTGACTTTAGCTCACAGAATGTGCCGTGCAAAACGAAAATAGCTTTACAATGCGGCTTCATTGAGTTCGTCGTTGTTGTTGTGGTGTCTTCTCATTAAACTTTTGCTTCTGCAGATGAAAAGTGCCTGCGACTTATCGACATCGGGACATCATCGCACTGAGCACTCGAAGTTTACTTCTTTGCTTCTGCCGATTGTATCCTTCCCCCTTCTTGTTCATAAACAAAAGTCATTTCAGCGCTTCTTTCACTTCGCTCTTGATACCCAGTATTTTTGTGTGTTCGAAACTAGTGGTAACATTTTCAAATATACAGAGACACATCAAAATCATAAAGAATTGAAAATTATTTTCAAAGGACCTTAAAAGTGTGCAATAAAAATTGAACTATATTTTTGCACAGCTTTTCATTTTAACTTTAAAATCTTAGTTAATTTGATTATACACTCGATAGATTTTGGTCATAAGGAAACCTTTGTTTCACAAATTTTCCAAATTTCCCACATATTAACTAAGAAATTTGTTTTTGGCAATTTTACGCCTAAATATAGGCAATGATTTTTTTTAAACTGACAGCCAGGTACTCAAAAGTCGGGAAATTTAAATTTTGCCTTCGCTTTTGCTTAGCTGTGAACTCATTACGACCACGCCCACAGTGAACTTGCCGCCCCAAAAAAAGCGGGGGAACATGTGTGTGTCTTGGAAACTTTTCCTATATAAATTACCAGCTCGGGGCGCATCGCAGGCGATGAGAGCGACATTTTTAGCACGATGCATGAGCGTATGGCTGCTTTTGGTTGCCTCGTTTGCTTACTAATAATGTCGCTAGCAGAAGCATAAAAGGGGGATTCACCAGCGAAGGATATTCAGCGGCAGAAGCTGCGAGCAGGGAGCATCCAGTTGACAGCCAGGAGAACCCATACGCAACGTATGCTGCCACGTGGCGGACGTCTTTTGTCTGAAACACCCGTCTACAGAAATTGAATTTAGCCACGTTATAACTCACTTCACACGCCGCACTGCAAGAGTTTCAACTCCACAGGATGGGTGACAAATCAATTGAATTAAAGACGTCAGCGACTTCAGATTTCTTGCAAAATATTCAGCAGACAGCAATTTATGTTCAACCTCCTCTTGGTAAGATAAAATGAAATCATAATTTATCGTAATCCTCTGTCTGAAAAACTGAATAATCTAGGCTAGACCGCATAGAACTTCACTCGCACGTTTACCTTGTAGTTCACAAGGTTTTCCAGGCAGCACACTAACAAACGGAGCCCAAAATGGAGCGGAGCCGCAGGATTCACATAATGATGAACCAGAGCTTTCTGTCGCGTGCCACGGTCACCGAGAGCATGGCTCAGCTGGCGATCCTGAATGTGGACAGTTCGGATACCGTGGAAGACACAGTGGTCAAGACCTTGCTGGTGGTCGAGAACAAGTTTCGCAGCTACTTCGAATCGTATAGCAAGGAAATGGAACTGCAGAGGATTGCGGCCCACAGTCTCAACCAGCTGATCTATCGCTACCAGGCCACCACCCAAGTGGACACCAGCTGCAGGTGCCCCAAGTTCTACGAGGCCGAGACGGAGGAGACGATGGTCACCAAGTACCAGCTGGACTACCAGGTGATCCTCAGATCCAACCAGAACCAGTGTTCGGACATCCACAGGCTTCGTCCGTATGTCCTGTTCTTTCGGCGCGAGTGTGCCAAGTTGGATCTCAACGAGGAGAGCCCCTTTATACAGGGTGACGCCTTCCACAAGCCGATCAAGTTCTTCATTGACCTAATAGAGGAACTGTTCTCATACTTCTACAGTGGCCACCTCCAGCTTGACAGCGCAGCCAACCTGTTGGATCCCTTCGATCTGAACAGCGTGGAGTACTATCAGAAGCTACTGACCCACAATGAGGACTTCGACGAGTACTTTATGCACAACATAAGCTTCTGCAAGTGCCTGCGGGTGCCGCCAAAGTGTCCATCGATTGAGGACATCCAGCTGATCAGGGATCAGTCCGAGCCCTACATTGAAGAGGCCAAGCGGAAGCGCTGTGCCAGGCGCTTCGACAAGATGGCCGCCACCGAACTTCCTTGCCATGAACCGGACCAGAAGAAGTCCATCCCTCGAGTCCATAATCAGGAATCGATCCCGGAAGAGGGAGACAGCGATCCAGGGATCCCCAGCCACCAGCACTTGGACCCCCGTCTTATCGCTTCGGAAATCGATCGCTTCATGCGCGCCTCTGCGGAAGACCCTTCGGCGGAACCTGGTTCCGTCTTGGAACCCAATTAGTCCTCTGTTGTTTTACCGGATATTAATTATTTTCAAATATTTCAAGCAACTCTTAAGATTATTTTTTCTTAACAATTTGTATTATTATATAAATTGGGATGACAAGTGGTTTAAGTTGAATTATTCGAAAATCGTCTTTGTTAAAAAGTCAGATTGAGATGGTTAAATATTTTCCCTGAGCATAAAATTAGCAAAGGATATTAAAAGTCGAAAAGCTAGTATTAAATTAACATGTATAGCTAGAAAATTAAATATAGATTAAATAGAAATATCACTTGATGTTCATTACACCGTTGCATTGAATACAAATTTTATATCATCTTTATGATAGTATATTTTAAAAAATTAAAAAGAAATATCCTTGTTTCGAGAAGGGTTCAGTGATTACTAGACTAGTATTATTTCCGAGGTTTCAAATAACTAATCTAAGCTGACACCGCATAAATCTTCAACTAAACGTTTGCTTAGTTTTCCAAACAATTCCAAGGCAACACACAGAAAAACACAGATCAGAAAATGGAAATGCGTGACCGGCTGTATCACCTAATGGTGAGCCAGAGCATGATGTCGCGCTCGACGGTGACCGAGAGCATGGCCAAGTTCGCGATCCTGAATCTGGACAGTTCCGATTCCGTTGACAAGACGGTGGTCAAGATTCTGCTGGGGATCGAGGACAAGTACCGCAGTTACTTCGAGTCCTACCAAAAGGAGCTGGGCCTGCAGAGGATCGCGGCACAGACTTTAAGTCAGCTGATTCAGCGCTACAAGATCACCATGCAGGTGGACACCAGCTGCATGTGTCCGAACATCTACGAGATCGAGTCCGAGGAGGCGATCATCAACAAGTACTATCTGCACTACCAGGTGATCGTCAGTTCCAACAAGAACCAGGGTTGGGCCATCCACAGCCTTCGTCCGTACGTCCTGATCTTTCGGCGCGAGTGTGCCAGGTTGGATCTAAAGGAGGAGAGTCCCTTTATCATGGGCGACGCCTTTCACAAGCCCATCAAGTTCTACATTGATCTGGTGGAGGAACTGTTCGCCTACTTCTACAGTGGTCACCTCCAACTGGATTGCGCTGCTCGGCTGTTGGATCCCTTGGATCTGAACAGCGTGGAGTACTACCAGAAGCTACTGGCCCCGAATGAGGACTTCGACGAGTACTTCCTGCACAGCATGAGCTTCTGCAAGTGCCTGCGGATGCCGGCAAAGTGTCCTCCGTACGAGTGCCATAAGCTGATCAAGGATCAGGCCGAGCCCTACATTACCCAGGCCAAGAAGAAGCGATGTGCCAGGCGGTTCGACAGGATGGCCGGAATCGAGCAGCCGAGTTCGAAGCGCGGAAGCACGGGAACGGAACGGAAGGCGTCCATCGTGAGCAATCAAAGCGAGAAGATAACCAAAAGTGCTAGTCAGACATCGAATCAGGAAGCTCCTGGGGAGGAATTGGTCCCCGTTAGCCAAAATCATGAACGCACTCTCACGGATAATCTAATGAAGGCCCTCTCCATTGTCAATAACGACAGGTTGCCCGAGGGAGAGACTCAATAAATCTGAACTGGGCAAACTTAACTGGTAATCGGGCAATTAAACGACCAAAGTGCATGTGATTGCGGTTTCGGTTTCTCGGAAACGTCTGCGGAAATGTACTTATCCCTCTTGCCCCTCGGGTATTTTCTGCACGAAAGTGAGATTTACTTACTATGCATAAACATTTAAGGCTCTGCAGCTGTTGTGGCAACCAACTTCGATTCAGAGGTACTTCCAACTGAAAACACTCGATACTCAAAGAGCCTTAATTGAAAGCAAACTAAAGTTTTCATTTAAATCAAGTGGAACACTTCAAAATTTGTTGCCAAGTAAGTGAAATCAAGTTGAAAGGAATTCAAGTTGATTTTATGTTTTCCAAATTCGATTTTCAGTTATTGCGGTAAATTTTGAATTATCAATAAAATGTAAATTCTCTCGATAGCTTCCTGGAATTTCTATTGCAGTTTAAAAAAAATTTTTTTATAATTGTAAAGGGTAACTTGTTAGATCAAAAATCCTTTTTAATCATTTTACTTTGAAATAATATTTTTAGAAAAGACATGTAATTCATTAGAATAAATATTAAATGTTCTTAAACTTAATTTAAGATTCGGCTGAAAGGAAAAAATGTATATTATTTAAACAGAACTACATAAGCTTTAGTGATTATGTTCCATCTGCTCCAAACACACAATTTCATTTTCCCACCCAATAAATAATATTTGGACGTGCCAAAGTGCTTTGGCGAATCAAGGATGACATTATAATATTGTTGAACAGGCAATCTGCATGTGCGTGTTTAGCAAATGGACTAAATGTCGACGTTAGCCGCTTATTTATAGTAAAAAACTAGTGAAAACTATAAATAAATAAGCAACTTTTACCAGTGACGGCGGGCAGATGCAAATGCTAATGCTAAATTTGTACCGCATGGCTGCCTTTTAAGCGTACCATGTATATGCATATATTACGTATACGTCGTGTACTCACCGATCTGGCGCCGGAGGTGATGCGGGCGCTCTGGGAGCGCGTGGCCGGCCGTCGTCGGCGGTAGCCGGGCGTACCGCCCTCGGGCGTGGCACTTCCGGAGGCGCCCGGCATCCCATGGATGACCGTCTCGATGCTGGCGCCCGTGGCACAAATGGAGGCGCTCCTCGTCTTCTTCTGCATCCGATGATGCATCGGGGAGATGTCGTCCACCATGGCGAATATTTGGTCTTAGGTCTCCTTTGTTTGCCGGCGACAGTGGCCTCCTGGGAAATTTCGGGTGACTTCTGGTCTGCGGCTTTTTGCTCTGTTTCGGCACTTTTCCGAAACGAATTTGGCCAAGTCTAGGGGTCTCTACTTTTGTGCATTAAGCAGTTCGTGCTGTGGTTCTAGTGGCTCTATGTTGCTGCTGTGGATGCTTTGTTGCATAATTCATAATCTGAGTTTTAGATGGTGTGTGATTGTTTGTGGTGCACTCTGCAAATAAACCGTGAAAAAGCAACATAAACGAATGCACAAAACATTTAAAAGAATTTGTTTTCAAATTAAAATTACACTTTTTCTCGAATAGTTTCGGTCGTGACGCGACCAAGTTTTACAGAAATAACCCAAAGAAATATTCGGTTGAAAAGCAAAAGTGAGCAACGAAAAGCGAATTTCATCTGCGGTCTACAAAATTGTATTTGTAACAACATGCAACATAATTTGCTGTGTGATTTTTCATTCCGCCAGCGGCCATTAAACATAAAATTCCTCTGTTTGTTTTACCAACCCCCAGCAAACCCCGCACCATCCCCACTTTCGATTTATTTTTAAAAGTGCCTCACGCGTCTCTCAAAGAACTGGGTCAGCCTCGGTTGTTGGCCAAAGCCCATTCGCATTTTCAGTGGACATCTCGAAAACGACAAATTGCAACAAACAAGTTCCAAATCTATACAAAAGGGGCAAAGCCTTTGGGAATTGTGGTTTCTATCGGGGTTGCGTAAGGGTTCAGGCGACTGTTATGTGTTTCGGTTATGCATGAGTTTGGGTTTTGCCCTTTCGATTGGTTGATTTAAATTGTTGGCGTAGGATTTTAGATTTATGTTTGGATTATTTACTTGACTATTCTTGTTTATTTATTCGATCTGGGTATTTTCTTATATAAAACAATTTAATAACTTAATCAACTTTCAGCCTCCACGAATATTAAGGTATATTGTTACGTAAGCAGATTATAATTCTAGTATACAGACACCTCTATACAGACACCTCTAAATCTATCACAACAAATAAATATTGTATTATATACTATCCTTCATTACTTCTCACTTTTTACTATTAACCTTTAAAAGCTAAACTAAATTAATCCCTTCTTTTTTAAATAATTTTCCAGAACTTTTAATGAAAAGTTGAACGCTTCTGAAAGAATTCCCCTCATTTCAGACATTTCCATTTCATAACAAATCTTTGTTTGGATTCGCTTGATCTTGTGAGTCTGAAGAGTTCGTTAATCACGTAATTCTCGAGGTCTAAAAATAAACTTCTTTATATTAGCTTCAGATGCTAACCCTTGCATCATCCGCATGTTGAACTCTTTCGTATGGTTTCCTATGGAAAAATAAAGCATTTCACAATTAAGATGTGTATAAAAGCAGAAAAATGTGGAAACTTTCGTTTAGCAGTACTCGGAAAATCTTCATTAAAGAGGTCGTGAAAGTTAAATGGCAACTTTAACCTGCAAACTGCGTTTCTAATGGACACTAATTGCCATTTGCCAGCGGAAGAGTTCCCGGGGCTTTTCGCGATGGCGAAATGAAATCCATTTCTCAGCTGGCCTCAAGCGAAGGCAGCTGAAATTGAATTTTCCCGACTGCTGTTTAGAGAAGCTTAGAGTGGCGACTAAGGAGGCGGCCAGGAGGCCAATCCAAACATATTGGTAATCGAGTTAGGCATCCTGTTCCAGCTCCTTAGACTCGCATCATTAGCCTGCCGACCTGGGGCATCCTATTCCATTTGGCCCAACTGTCCTCCTTCATTCTTCGGTACCATAATCAAATTACGCTCTATCCTTTCATCCGCACTTGCACTTAAGTGCAGCCAGGACACTTTCCACTCTCTGTCGCTGACAAGCGAACTTGATGAACTTGCAGTTTTAGCCGCGTTCATTCGAGTGCTTTAAGGTCTCCCTGCTGGGTAATTAACTTGTGCGAGTGATTAAAACATAAATAATTAAAACCGAGCCACCCTTTTTTTGTGTTTAGAGGAACAAAAGATTCGGGCCAAGTCCCTGGCAAGTAAATAATGCAAAGGACTCGAGGGAAAAAGGAGGAAGAATAAATACATAAACTTGAAAATGTTTTTAGCGCGGCAGCATATGCGACAAGCGTTTGAGATAAGCAGGCCACGGCACTGAGAGAAAAAGGTGGTTAAAATAGGAAAATTTTATAGATTTTCGTATGTATTTTACAGTTTATCAACATTATTACTGGACTTTCCACTTTAAATATTAACTCAGCCTGCTAAAACTATTTTTAAGGAAAATATTTGAGATCAAATTTAAGCGATTTTCTGTGTATACCTTGGCAAAAAACCCAGCTAGAAATAAGGGTGGAGTCATTGACTTAAACATGTTTAAAGGGTTGCGAAAACTTTCTGTGCGACTTTACGCTTGATTTGCCACCTAAACCGAGAATCCAGCGATGCATTACAAGGACGCACGAAAAAGGGAAAAGCGAAATGGGTATCCCGAGATGATTTCAGCTGCTGACCCATTCAGTCGTGCATGAAACTCCTGGCCACATGGCGATGAAGTCGTCGTTGAAGGCTCCTTTGTCAGCAAAAGGATCTGCCTGCTCGCGGCTTGTTTGCATTCAATTGATGCCGCAGGCTGTTCTGGCTAACAACAACATGGCTAAGAGCTCCCGGTGCGTGTGTGTCCTCCTAATTGGCCGCAGGAAGGAGGAGCAGGGGGTGCGGCCACACATAGACTCCTCCCCCTTTAAAGCTTTCGCCATGGACTTTGCCATTAATTTTCATTTTTATGCTTATAGACTTTGCCCGGAATTCTGCGCCATATTCGTGGTCATTTCGCTTTATGGCATGATATGAGGCGGCCAACCATTTCGCTCTTTCCCCTTATCAAATGGCCTGTTGCTAGTTATTAACATAAATATTTTCGCTTCATTTTTTTGCCTGCCCCGGCTAATCAGGCAACACACCACCGACGTGGATGTGGCTGCGGTTGTGTATATGGACAGATGATGACAGCTGGGCCCGGTTACAGGCAACTTAGGCTATCACAGAAATAAGGCCAAAAAGTGCGTGGCGTTGGCCCACCAATATATATCCCCTGGCAGGCAACGAGAAAAAATCCCCGATAAAGTGTCAACAGATACCGCGTGTGTCGGTCCGATGGGTCCTGAATGGAACTTGACTATATGGGGGTTTTTTGGGTGGCTCAAGGTTGGTATGCCACCTGAATATGAAATAAAAAACGGTAAAACAATCAAGAGCAGTTGAGCGGAACTGCAAACAAAATTGATTTAAATGGAAGCTGATTGCGGTCGAGTGTGAATTGGTTTAAAATGCATTATAAGTTAAATAAATACTGTTAAATCGAGGATAGATGGCAAAAATAATTAATTCAGTTCTAAATAAATCATTTCAATTGAGAAAAAGTTTTATCCAAACTTGCATATTGTGCTGTCAAAAATTAAACCAATATCCGCCAAATATTTAAAATGGGAATTTTGATTTTCATTTACAAAACAAATATTAATTTGTGGAAAAAAGTTAATTAAAAGATAATAGAAGTGATGGACTAATAACAGTCTAATAGTCTAAAAAACTTGAAATTATCACTATGGACGGCAGTCCATGTAGTGACGAAGCGCACCAGGAGAGTGTGCGAAGGCGACTACTATTATATAGCCGCAAAATTGAAAATCTGCTGTGATAGTCCGATCGTAATGAGTAATACACCAATCGAAAGGTATTGCAAAAACTTAAAGGATTGCATACCAAGACTTTAAGAAAATCAATTGGCTTGGGAGAGAGAGCGGTGAAAGTGAAAAAGTGAAATTTTCGAAATTTGGAGCTGTTGGGGCCGGTGGGGATAAATGCCCCCTCGCAATGTTTTAGTTGTATTCCTTTTGAAAATACCCGTCGAATGAGGGGTCGTTTGTCAAAATCCGACGCTCCGTTCAAAAGTTATAGCCAAAACAAGATTTTCTTCTTCTTCCCAAAATGAAATTTTAATTCTGTTTGTCAGTTTGTCCACTTGTCCACTTGTCCACTTGTCCACTTGTCCACTTGTCCACTTGTCCACTTGTCCAAAATATGTTTTTTAAGTTCTGAATATTTGATATGACGTTCATCACATCGATATAAAAAACTTTTGTTCTACCACTTTTGGAAAAACCCGCTAGTTTAGCGGGAAAACAGCTATAAATAGCTAAAATTCGGAAAGCCGTAACTTCTATACTACTAAAGCTACAGGCTTGTGCTGCATCTCGTTTGAAAGGTATTTTTAAATGCTATAAACGTCTTCTATATGCAATTTGTGTAAATGTAATAGTTAAAAAAATATGAACAAAAGACAATTTTTTAAAACTTTTTTTTTAGCTTTTTTTTATTTTTCTCAAAAACGGCTCTAACGATTTTCTTTAAAACCTTAAACTGTATAGCCCTTGAGATTCCTTAAATTTTGGTATATAACACATTACTGTAAAAAGTCACGTTTAAAAGTTATTTTTATACGAAAATAGCCACTGTTGCCAGCTCGAACAATTAACGCTCCCTGAGTATTGAATTTTGTGGGAGGGTATCCGAACTGTATTTTAGGGTCATGGAATCAGTAAATTTGCACTTAAGAGTTCCATATAGGAATCTTTTGTTCTACGACTTTTGGAAAAAGCCGCTACTTTAGCGGGAAAATAGCTAAAAATGGCTAAATTTCGTTAGTTTTTAAGTTCTACACTACTAAAGGTACAGACATGTGCTATACCTCGTTTAAAAGGTATTTTGAAATACTTCAACGCCTTTTTAACTTAATTCGTTAAAATACAATAGTTTAAAAATTATGATTTATGACCAATTTAAATTTAAATGTTTATATTAGCACCTATGAGAGCAAAAGTAAACAAACAAAAACTTCTGATATCAAATAAAAACACCTCTTAACGAGGTAAAAAACTAGTGACGATCGCACCTTCAACGTACAAAAGTTCTGATATCAACTTTTGTGACGAAAAATAATTTTAGATGCGACTAAATAAGTACGCTACCTAAAATTTATTCATTCGGCACGCTAAAACAGAAAAACATTCGTGTAGATATTAAATATTTGCTAAAGCGGGCCGAACGAGTAAATTTTAGGTAGCGTACTTATTTAGTCGCATCTAAAATTATTTTTCGTCACAAAAGTTGATATCAGAACTTTTGTACGTTGAAGGTGCGATCGTCACTAGTTTTTTACCTCGTTAAGAGGTGTTTTTATTTGATCCATATTAAAGCTGGTTAAAGGTGCTATAAAATATGCATGAGTGTCTGCTGGTTAATGTTTATATTTTTTTCCAGGAAACATTGGCTTTCATCTTGTTCAACGATGACCCTGGGCCACGCCTCCATTGTGTGGGAGTTTGTTGGGAAGCCAGCGGCTTCCTTCAACATGTCCACGTCCTTGTCCGAGTCACTGTCCATGGTCCATGTGTCCATGTTGTTATCCGTGTGGCAGCTCGTGTCGTTGTCAGTGGATGTTCGCAGCGTTTGTTTAATGTTTCCCTTTGAGCCTCATCTCACAGCAGAGGTATTTGTTTATTTTCATGGCCAGCACCTGTTGCTGCAGAATTAATTTCCAGGGGTCACAGGCTGCCGGGTTGTCTCAAAGGTCGGGGTCGGTGGGAGTTGACTTTTCCCTAACGCCTCCCTCATTATTTCTTAGTGCGGATTGGCGACATTAGTCTTAAGCCACTGGAAGGACTTTCTTGCTAAGATTCAGATTGAGATTGAGTTTTAGCCCAGCTTTATCATAGAGCTTCATTATTATCATTTCATTCAGATGGCAGATGGCAGCTTGTCAACGCAAATGAGCTAAATAAAAAGCAAAAGTTTTTATTGCGCATACGCCCCGTTGCCGTTGGTTTTCCTCTAATGGGACAGCATGTTATTAGCTCCGAGCTGTTTTATTTTCTCTCTGCTCAGATGAAAACAAATTTGAATGATTAAATAAATTATACAGCATTTGGCTCTGACATTTGGCGACTAAGCGTGCGAAGAATTTTTATGATTTGACAGAAAAAGCAAGAGCACAACGAAAATATTCAAAAATCGTGCTGATCATCGTCCAATTTTATTTGTTTTCAGTTGACCACTGAGGAAATCAGTTGACACTAGCCAAAGCCTTTCGAACTGTTTGACATTAATTTATGGCTAGAATTTCTATTTATTTAGCTTTCGTTGCTTAAGTGGCCAAACAGCAGTCGTTCCCTTTTTCCTTTGATTTCGTGTTTAATGTTCAATAAATCGATGAGGACCCCAGAAAAATAAACATGGATTGCAGACACAGAAAAGGCGAGAGCGGCGAGAATGAGCCAAATCTGTTCGGAAATTTATTTTGCTACAAAGATTTTCCAAATCGTTGGGCAAAATGGAGCTCAAGGGCAGATTATGCCGCTTAATGTTGTGTCTCCTCAGCCAGATTTCTCCTGCCTTCTCGAGTCCCCGTCTGTTTAGTTTAAACTTGACGTCTTTTACGGTGATTATGACACACGTGCGGGTGTGTGTAAATACTTGGGTGTGCCAGGGTGTGTTTATTCCACCTTCGGCTGCTGGCTGCCTGTTTACTTCAAGTGGTATTCTTTCGGGGGCTTGTTATTCTCAATTTAGATTCAAATCAAGCCAAGAGTCGGGCCGCCGGCGCAGATGTTTACACAAAAATTCACTTCATTTGGTTTGTGCGACAGGATAAATACGGCACTCGGCAGTCGGCAATCCGCCTTTGATGTGTGTGTCATAATTAACTATCGGGGAATGTCCTGAGGTATCTGTTGAACGGAAATAAATCGAGGAAGTTTACGATTTTCCTTTTTTTCTTCCTTTTTTTTCGTTTTCTGTTGTCCCCTAACCCGAGGCCCTAATTGGTTTGCATTTGATTTCACATGCTCGCATTCTTGTCCCCGGCCCTTGTTCGATTTTATTATATGAATGGGATTTTCTAGTTTGGTCATCCGAGGAAATTCACTTCTTTTGTTAGATCTTCTGAACCAACTGAAAAATGCTTTTGTAACTGAATATTGGAGAGGAGGAAGACCTAAATAACTTGGCATAGAGGATTTTTTAAGGATAGCCATGAAAAAGTGCAACATTTGTTATAATATTTCTTATATAATATATTAAAAATGATACACCAAAATGGCGTTGAGCTAATCTCACCTAATTCGATTTCGAATTACCCTATCAAGATCGAATTCAAATTGAGCAACCTTTTAACTAACACCATTTTCTTCTACTCCACCGATTTCCCTTCGGAACTGTTCGACTGGAATCAATTGCGACTTCCCTCTTAGTTATCCATCCATCTGATTTTCAAACTCTTTATGTCATTCTATTTGCATTGGCATCGCTGACCCAGACAGTTGCAATTATGTTGCCCCGAGGACGGGGAAGGGGAAGTTCCTGCAGGAAGAATACCCAATGTCCATCAAAGTGAGCTGGGCAAGAAGAGGGGAAGGGGCTGCCGCCAGGGAAATACATAGGAAAATGGATAAAAAGTTAAGCCAGTCAGGAATTTATTCGCATTTGAACTGTTGTTTGTTTGTTTGCTCTGGTTTGGGTTTCGCTTTGGGTTGCTTTTGGTCGCTGGAAGCATTTTAAGAGTGTGCATAAATATTTTTGTTAGTTGTGTCTGGCTGGGATGGAGTTATGCAGCGGAAATGTGTCCCACTTCACTGTCTTCCCGACCACTTTGCCTCCACTCCAGTTGGCTGCCCAATTGTCACTGGCACAGGGCCCAGTCACGTTTCACAGTTCAAGTAAAATGGGAGTTGTGAGTTGTGCACAGGAAAAAAGCTTTTAGCATCGGAATATTTTAATTTGAATTGTTGACCGAAAGGGGTTCAAAGGGATAAGTTAGTAAAAGTCGAGAAACACTGCTTCTCATAAACTGCAGTGCTCTAAACCAAAGTAATTGGTATTGCATGGTAAAAACGATATGCCGAAATTTTAGCATGCGCATGTAAGGAAAAGTATAATAAAGTAAATTCAGCAAATATAAATAAAATTTGTCTTGTATTTTAAGAATTTTAAGTAGGCAGTTTAATGAGTGTGTTTCCTATTTCAGACAACACTTTTATCCCCAGTGCATTAAGAGGAACACGAGCCTGTCATGTTCATAGCTTCCCCGGGCGTAAAAGGTCCAAAGAGCAATGACAGGGGCGACAACATTTTTGGGGGCTGACAATGAGGGGTGAGAGCTGGACAATGCCGCGACCTGGCCAAAAACCGGGCTCCTCCTCTTCCATATGGGTTTTTGCCTCTGATGTTCCGGCTGCCAGGTGCAGGCCGAAATGCTTTCAGGATCTCAGCTTTGTTCGCAGGCTCTCCACTTACTGTACCCACTTCTCGATGATGTAGTCAGTGCAGGTTTTAATTGAATTTGGAATATATTTTTGGACCCCGGAGGCCAGAGCAATCTGGCCAATCCATTTCGGCTATGACCGGATACTGCAGCTCCTCCTCTGCCAATTAGTGGTGCCTGTTCTCTTGCTCAAACTCTAATGGAATTAGTTGTTAATTTGATTTGCCATAAAAGCAGTCCTCGGCTCTATTTCCATCCGCAAGCGGGTGTGTTTGTGGCTCCATTCTATTCTACATTCTGCATTCTATATGGATCCCAGGGACGGAGGGGCGTGGCCAGGAAGTCGCGTGCCAGCGGAGCCAGACACTTTAGTTTAATTGGCCCCGGGGCAAAAGCGCAGGAGCATCGACCCCCCCACACACATCGGAAAATCAGTGAATTGAAATCAAAATGCCGCACTGCAGCTACATTTGTTTTTACACTGCTGCGTGCCTGGTCCTTCGATTGGGGATTGTGGTCATGGACTACCCGCTCTTGTGGACTGTCCCGATTAGGCCCCAGATCTCTGGGGAATTGCTGGGGCGATTTGTATCGCTAATGATTGCCCGCAATGACTGCTCTTTGTTTGTCCTGTCCAGTTTCGCTTATTTTCGCTGATTGCCAGTGACCAGCAATTTAAGGCTGTCTGATTCCGTCGGTTTATATGGTTATAACCCGAATGTAATCTGCTTTTTGTCTATAAAGACAAAGGTTAGCTTTTCGCTTGAAGAAAAAAATGTAATGGAATGCATGAAAATATAGAGATTGCACAACGCAATAGTGAAATTCTAGGAAATTTAATTAGCCTAAATGGAGCTGCAGATTTATAAGGAAAAAAAAAAACAAATAGGAACATTAATTAAACCAGTATTTCATTTAAGTTTTTCAATTACACTTATAGTTGGTGTTTTAGTTTGCCCTTTAAGCTACTTTAAAATACACACATTTCATTTGTATTTCTCCCATGGGTCTCTTTGTTCTTTGTTTTTCTCTCCATTTTCCCCCGGGGCTTTCCTTTAAATTTATTTTCCCATTTAAAGGCTTCGCTTGTCCCAACGGAGTTTTTACAGCTCGATTATCGGAAACATTCCCGCAGCTTCTACAGATCCTATATATGGCTTCTGATTAAATTTTATTTTATTTTATTTTATTTTATATGTTCCTGTACTGCCGCTTGCAGTTGGAAATCCATTTATCTTTTGTTACACTGCCCGAATTGATTGTTATTTAGCAATTTCCCGCAGGCCCCACTTTTTGCCACCGAACAAATGGTTTATGGCACCCCAAAGAATTCGCTCTCAAATAAACCATTTCGAAAAGGCAGACCATAAACTGATGGAGGCTGCTGACTTCTTGGCGTTGAATGTTTAATGCAGAGGGCAACGTGGCGTATGAGTGATTTCGCTGCCCGATTATCCTGTGCTAAAAAGGAAAATGGGGAAAGGAAATGGAAATGGTACTGGGAATTGTTGGGACCAAAGTAAACAAATCGAACCGCTGCCGGAAACGCGAAAAGTGCCAGGCCACACGACACTTCGCTGGAGTCACGGGGTATTTCTTATTTCTTCTTTTATATTTTCTGTGGTTAAATATCTATTTGGGTCACGACATTGCAATTAGGCAATTTAATTAATCAAAACAAACCTTTCCTTCGGGCCGTTGGCACCTTTGACTATCCCCTCAGGTGGGAAATGGCAGAGTCCTCGTTGCGGGTCGGTCACCAAACTCGAACATCCATCCAGAAAGTTTATGCTATCTGGGTTGGGGGCACTACTTATGTATTTGATCGATAATTTGTATAAAACAAATAATAATACTGCGCCGGCGGCCCACTTTATATATAGCGAGATAATTTTTTGCACTTGTTCACTTTCTTTTTCCTTGTTTTCCGTTATTTTTAGATAATGTGAAGTGAAGCCGAAACAGAAACCGAAACGCACACAATTATTTCGCTTCTTTCAGATATTTTCTATCATAAAACTTGTGTTTTTCCACCGCAGATACACACATTGGCTAGCTATAGTCGGTATATAATATTATTTTGATTATTTTCTTGCTCTGGGGTTTTCCAAACGCGGGTTTTCCAATTCAAAACGAAACGATACGTTGAGCGCCTGGCGATTTTCCAACCGCTTTTCACATCCGATCCGTGCGAGCGCCGTCGAGTGTTTGAAGCGATTTTGGTTCGGTTCGTTTCGGTTCGGTTTGGCAGTTGGCGCTTTCAACTGTGACGTCACGGAAAAGCTCTGCTACGTCACCGTTAGCTTTTCCGTGCACTTTCCTCTCTGCCGTATTTGATTTCCCCACCATTTGGATTGTTTGTATTTTTTCTTTACGACTTTGCTTTGTTTATCTTTAGCTGTCTCTGCTGACTTTGTTTTGTATGTCCCATCAATGGAGCATAAGGATGGTGGCGAAAGCGAGTTGAAAGGTGGGTGGAAAGCGGGTGGCAAGTGGGTGAAAAGTGGGTGGAATATCGGGCAGCAGAGACGCTTTAAGGATTGCAACGTTCACATCTATTTTTTCGACCCTTTCTCTGCCGTTTCCTTTGTTTTGGTTCTGATTCTGTTTCGGTTTTGTCGGCATTGTTTATTGCTCGTGTTTTCCGTTGGTTCTTTTATGATCCGAAGCGCTGACAGCCAAGCAATATTTAGAATTTGTGACGAGCATTATTCGCCATTTTATTAATGTTTCGATTTCGGTAGTGGACGTGGGGCTTTACCCATTGCTCATGCTTTATATCCCCATATATTTACATGTTGGCACAGAAAAAATAAAAACAGAAATTAAAATGTCGCTATTAAACAGTCTCATATAAATGTATAAGCCAAAGAATTTTCTAGGAAAATGCGTATGTTTTAAATAATTATTTATTACCTTGCAACTGGTGAATAGATTTTCCAAACCTCTGAGTGGCGACAAAAAATTAATTGTTTAAATTTCATCTTATTTCCTGGGGTTAAATATTGAACGTTATACTACTTATTCCTTTCTTTTTAAAAACAAATGCAACAAAAATATTTTTTCAATACTCAGAGATCTAGTAAATCTTCTATTTGGTATTTTTCTTTTCGTGTAGCCTATATTTCTGCTGATAAAGTGCTCTCATTTCTCATTTGAAGAGTTCCAATGGGGATAGTTGTGACCCGAAACACTTTAGTGCTGTTCAACTTGACTCGATTTGCAATTACCTAAATGACCAAACATATTTGCCAAGTGCAGGAAATGCAATTGCCAAAAATACCAACAATAAAGGCACCTGCTGCAACTGCGAATGCAATTAATCTTCAGCGAAACCTGTCGGACAGACCGCAAACAATCTCGTCCAAGGCAAACAAATCCCATCGACGCTGCATATGGGTGAAAGTTGGTACAATTTTTTGTAACGTTACAATACGTCAAGTTTTATGATGATTGAGTGTACGAAGAAATCGCACAACGGAGTAAAAAGAGTGAGTGGGAGAAGGTTGAAGCTTGAGGAAAATTCAGTTATATGGAATCCTTGACTAAAGTCAAATGGTGTCGGCCTTTGAACTGTTGGTTATTGTTCTCGTGGGGTAAATTTATGTTAGGAAAACAGTGGACATAACTCAAACCAAATTCTGGCAGATAATAACATGACAAATTGGAGACCATTATTTGAAATTTGCATTTATGAGTGTGTAAATTATCTTAAAGGGTAACAAAGAAAAATTAAATTACCTTTTAACGCATATTTTATTTAGTAAAACCTATAATTTAAATTTAGAATTTAAATCACTAAAGCCTTAAAATAACTCATAAAGGTGTTTAAAAGTTTCTAGAAAATAAGAATGAATTCATATGACTTTTTTATTAAACAAATATATTTGTTGCATACTTTAATATAAACGATTCTAAAACTTAGAAATTATTTTATATTTAAAAAATAATAATCCAAAAAATATTCGGTTTTTGTGTAATGACTGTATTATGGTTTCTGGTCGTGTTCGTAACTCCTGCCACGTGTTTGAATACGTTGGCCTATATCTTATCATAGGGTGTGTTTGTGTGGCATATTATCATAAGCCATGATTTATTTATAGAGGCAACCAGGTGGCCCACACCCATAAGGCGGAACGCACACGAATACGTATAGATTGCCTTTTGTCCTCGCTCAAGTTCGGAGAGCTGTCAATTGATTTACTTGACCCACATGGGCAAAAAACGAACTCGAACAGACGGGGCCACACCCCCCAAAGCCCACCGCCCCCAAACACTTTCGTGCGGTTTCCCGCCTTTTCACTAATGCGATCAATATTTGGCAGATAAAAAGCGGGCAAGGCAAAGTTGGTGGTGACCCACAAAAAGGTTTAAAGCTCCCTTAAAGGCCAATTGTTGCTCCTGACTGAGGGTAAAAGCCGGCAGGCCCTCAGGTGTTGGTCAATTAGAAGAAAATTCATTTTCGCGGATTTCCCGGCAAACGAAAATTTATGTTAATTTATTTCGGAAAAACTTTTTAATTAACCCACAAAACGTTGGATTGAGACCGCGCATCCCAACTTTTGGTATTGCTGCCAAGTGGCGACTTGCCACCGAGTATTGTACCCAGTATCTGTATCTTCGGTCTTCCGCTTTAATCTAGCTAATCTACGCACACCTGTCGGCCAGAAAGGTGGGGAAAAGGGAAGGGAACTTTTCTCAGCTGTCTGCTGTGGCTTTGTTGGTCTCTTTGAGCTTGTTTTTTGGCAACAATTTGCCTCAACTTGCCGCACCGCAAGCGCTTAATTGCAGCCCCAAGGGCTGTGGTAAGTGTATAATAAGGAGCTTCGAGGGGAGAAAAAAGAATATGTGGGCTGGTGTCACCGAATGAAGCTGTCGCTAATGATATTCATGAGTTTGTCTGGTTTGGTTTGGCCATTTCCATTCGCAATCAGGGCGGATTGGGGAACTTCAATGGTAGACATTCAGTTTGTTTTCATTATGGAAATAGGAAATTAAACTTCAAGCCCAGTTCCTACAACACATATCAGACTAGATTATCTTAATAATAAACATAATCATTAACGAAACTGGCTTTTTTAAGCCGGCTAACTTTACAGCTTTTAAAATAATATAATTATTTAAAGTTTGGTAGGTTATTTCCTCAAGAACATTGTTAAAATAAAATAAAAACGGACCAAATTAAAGTATAAAACACCCACAAAAAGGAATATGAAGTTTTTATTATTTTAAGGAGTGACCCTAAAATGTTTATGCATTTCTAAACAGCTTTATATATTTCTCAGCTAGCTATTTGCTAAGAAAAGCCAAGCTAATAGCTGTCTGACTGGTCTATATATTTTCTACCGCTCCCATCTATCCATACCGCTTAACTATGCCCATTTCCATATCCCGCACTAAGCAAACATCATCGCGGTCGGGGGAATCCCTTCCATCTTCCACTCGACGCGTTGCGTGGGGCAAAGTGAAAGATAAATGGAGGCTGTAAAAGCAGAGCACTTCGCACGGAGCTCTAAGGGATCGGGGTAAAAGGAAGGGAAGCCACTTTATCATAAACTCAACAGGTTCGAATCCTCCCTCCTCCGCTGTCCTGTGTATGTGTATGTGTTGCCATAAAAGTTGCTGCGCTGATTGAATAAAAATTTCATTAAACGCACATTTTCTAGCGGCTTGAAGGCGTTTTTGCTCCGATCCATCTGAAAATCCTTTGGAGGGACTAGAGATGAAGATGAGTTGAAGGGAGCGATGGCCCGAGGCTTTGGCTTTGGCTTGTCTGTCGTTTATTTTAATTGCCGGCATTAGACGTTCGTTGATAGGCCATAAAAAAGCAGTTGCACTCATAAAAAAAAATCGAAGAATTTCCTTAAAATCTAGAAAATTCTTTCTTGAATTTTTGCCAAAGGCGACCTCACCTTTGTTCCAAGAAATGGTTTTTTTGAAAGGCACCATTAAAACCAGAAAAAATATTTCTTGTTTTAAGAAATTTAATTTCTTAAAACAAGAAAGGGTTTTTTAGAAAGCCACCATAAAAACAAGAAAAAATATTTCTTAAAACAAGAAAGGCGATTCTTGTTTCAAAGGTGGTTTGTTTCTTGTTTCAAGAAATTAAATTTCTTAAAACAGGAAAGGGTTTTTTAGAAAGGCACCTTTTGAACAAGAAAAATTCTTTCTTGTTTAAATTTCCTTTCAAGAAATTTTATTTCTTGATTTAAGAAATAATATTTCTTGAAGGGAAGTTTTATATTAACACTGAAACCCTAAAAATAAAATGTAACTTGGTTTTTTCTTTTGCATATTTTATTTATTTAAATTTAAAACATTTAACACTGAACATTTAAACAATTTTAAAAAACACATTTTTGACTTAAGAAAACATTATTATAACCAAATATGTAGTTGCAGGCATAAAAAATTATTTTCTTCGGCTTTCCTCATCTGGAAAAAAGAGTTATTGGGATATCAATGATTTGTTTTTAGATAAGAATAGATAGATGTTTTTAGATAATAGATAATAATGTAATGTTAATAATAGCCAAAATACAAACACGTTGGTCAGACGACCGAGAGAGGAGCAAGACAGGTAGAAAATGAAGAAGGAAGGGTTGAAAATCTAATTTCAGAAAGAGCCACATACAAACATATATATTTACATACAGTCCTTTGCGCGAAGGGAGACCGAATGTAAGCAGGTCAGATCATGACAATTTTAAGAAGGAGTAGAGAGAAACGTCGCGACGCGTAGGTCAAGCGAGCGAGAGAGAGGAGCAGAATATGAAAGGGTTGAAAATCGGGTTTCAGATCGGGTGAGCCGCAAGTATGCCGTAAGTATGTCAAACAAATACAACATATTTTTCTTACCTTAGAAGGTTTTAAAACAAAATTACAGCTTCGACAAACAAATTATTTGGCTGATGCAACTGCAGGTATTTTCACTCTGAAAAATAAATAAAATGCGAGTAATAGGATAAAGTTATTATAGAACTCTACACCCACAGATTTATATACAAATGTATGTATGTACGCAGCTCTTAGCTAAAAAACCATTCAACTAAATTGGTATACGCTTGGTAAAGAGATTTGAAATTTATCCTTTAATTACATACATACAATTGTACGCCCGCTATACAAAAAATTATATATTTACATACCTTTGAATATTTGGAAAAAGGCTTCACCTCTTATCCGCTTGAAAATCACGTCCATCACTCACGAATTTTTTTCACAACTGACGCTCGGGGGATCAGAGAAGTCGGTAGCCAGGTAGTAGCCGAGTAGGCCCTTCGTCCCACTTCGTTTTTCTTGTCGTTAACATTCGGCAGCCGAAGGAAGTCAATGGCTACTTTCCTATATTCTAGGGTCATTTCATTCATATATTCAAAGGTGATTTTGTCCTAAAATACGTACAAAAATGTTTTGGCTGCGACGGCAAAACAGACATATGAGATTTTCATTTTTCTATTTTTAAGAAAAATTCTTTCTTGAATTTTTTCCATCAAGAAAGGTTTTCTGTATTCAAAGGCCAATTTTCTAATAACAAGAAATTTTTTTTCTATTTTCAAAGGTAAGCCGATTCAATGGCGAGATTTCCAAAATTTAGAAATTAATTTTTATGAGTGTGGCTCGACGGAAGCCATCAAAGACAAAATGGAAGATGTTTCTCCAGAGAATTATTTTCCAGCTGATAGATACTCTCCTTGAGGTTTGTTGCGTAAAAGCCATTCGAAGCCAATAAAAAATTATACATTCCTGATCAGCCAAAAAGGTATTTCTCTGCTTCGCTTTTTGTTTTACGCGCCTCGTCGGCTTCATTTCCGTTTGGTAAAAGGGGTGGGGGTTGGCAAAAGTTCAGGGGGCTGAGAAAGGGAAGACATTGTCATTCTGCTTTTGCGGTTGCTTATTCGGTTGTTAAATCGTTTTTATGACGTATTCTCCGCCGCCGAAAATTTACGCTCTGCGGTTAACTTTTCCCTTAGCACTTCCCGCCCTCATTTTCCATTTTCCTGCTCACCTCACCCCGTGCGAATCTCGGGCATTACTCAACCGTCTGTGTTAAGCTCTCGAGTGTTTGGGTAATTTCACAGATTTATGCAACTTTTTGGCAGAAAAAGAAAATAAAAAAGGAAAGGAAGGGAAGGGAGTGAAAGTAAGGATTATACTCTTTGCTTCCTTTTATGCCAATTATCTAACAAAATGTTCTTATAGTTATTTTTTAAATTAATCTTTTATCTCTTTCGTTATGGTTTCTTACTTCTAAATTGCGCAATTTAAAACATCATCGTCAAGTTTGAATATATTTTATTTATTTTCATTGTTTACACTATGCTACATTTAAAATTTACCACGAAAAGTTCCTTAAAATCCAAAGTTGGAAAATGATTTGTTTTTGTCAAATTCAACCCATTTTACATGAGAACGGATTCTTGGTTTGTCAATCAAAGCATTTAAGAAGTGTTACTCTTTATTTTCCGAATACCATACAAAAAATAATTTAACGATTTTTTTAATGGATCTATTAACTAAAGAAAACATAAAAAAAATGCTACAGTGACAACACTGATATGTATTTCTACATTCGATTAAGCCGTATGTAACATAGCGCCACCTAGTCGTGTAACAAATTCGTTATTATCTGTTAAAAAAGGGGAAACCTGCCTAAGTGGAGACACGAATCGAGCTAAACCGAAGTCGCACACCATTTAATTTGAATACAAATTTTGGCGGGTAATGTTTTCCCAGGATTTTCTAGGACTCCACTCCCACGATTTTCAAACTAACAGGGTCGTTATCTCCTTGTGCAAGGAAAAACAATTGAAAACTGAGGAGAAAGGTAACTATTTGACTCGCCTAACTAATGTCATGGTTCCTATTGTTTTTGCACGATTTATTTGCACCATAGCAACGCCAATCGCACAGAAACCCATAATAATACTTGGAAAACGAGGTAAATACTCATTTGTCGCGACTCGAGAGCTAATTTTCGACCACATTACCTGAGTCGAGACTGCTCGACAGATAACAACGCCCTGAGAAAAATTTCGGAGGTCAAACTAAAACGGGATGAGATAATTACTTCATTTATTTTTGTTAAATATTCTCAGAAATCAAATCATGAGTAATGACCGATCAGAGATTTGATCTATTGAAATGTGTTTTTAAAAATATTTTTTAAGAAATATCTGCCGAGCTAAGCACAATTTTCTCAAAAGGACCCCCCACTTTTTCGATGCAGGTGAGCACAGGTAAGCGGGTCTCTCAGTGGTACTCTACTTCACAGCTCTCTCCCTCGCTCTGCGAGTGTTCTCACTCTCCCGTCTTTTGGAGTTCCATGCTCGCCAGGTGAGGGCGCTCTCTCCCTCTTTTTGTGCGCGTCACAGGTAAAATTCAAACGGTGCTTCGTAACGTATTTTGCCCGGATCGCCAGCACCGCAACAAGTGCGCAGGTGCAAGCGGGACGCCAGCTGAAGCGGCGCGAAAGAGACGGCTGGCTGGTGTGGGAGATCATTGGGAGAGAGTGGGTTGGTTGCGCTGAGCGTGGCCCAAACGCGAAGCGAAGCCGCTGGAAGAGTCGGCGTCAGTTGCTCAACGCGCTTACCTGTCGCTAGACGTGTTTTTCCCCAAGGAAAGGAAAACCCGCGTGCTCCGTCTCGCTCCCTCCTCTGCGTACCTGTGTGTGTGGAGTGCCTGCTCCGAGCAAGTGTGTGTGCGTGTTTCAGTGTATATTCAATTAATTACAAAGGCAAAAGAAGCAGCTATGTGAATTGAATGAAAGAAAGCCACTTAAAAAGTATGCAAAAAAGTTGCGTGATACAAAAGGCAAGGGGTGAAGCAGAAGAAGAAGCACAAGCGGCAGTGTAAATGGTGATTAATTCACTTTAAAGGTGCAATTAAACAGCAGCAAAGAAAGCAACAACAACAACAACGAGAGGAGCAGCAGAAGCAGCGCAAGGTGCAGACAAGGTGAGGTGAACTTGAAGTTTTTTCTTTTCTTTCTACCTCAACTCCCCTTCCTCACCCATCCCCCTCCCAAAAAAAAGAAGAAAAATTATTCAACAGCAAAAATATTTAATGAGCATGGGTATCTGTGTGTTCGCCCGGGTTCAAGTGTGTGTGTGGCATTTCAAAATTGCACTTGAAAACGGCGAGGTGGAAAGAGAAAGACCAGATAATGACAATGAGAAGAGGGAACAGAAAAATCAGTACAAAACGGTATAAACGTGATTCTTTTTCCAGCCATCGGCTTGTGGGAATTTTCCGAAAAGGGGGAGGAGCAGGCTGCTTGGCCTCCAATTTTTTTTCGCTCGCCGATCCGATGATGCTGCAACTGTACACGCTCTGTTTTCCTCTGATCCATTGGCGACATTTTTTTTTTAAACTACTAAAATAAAACTGAGAAGAACAAACAACAGAAAAAAAAACGCAAATCTGGCGCAATTGGCAAACCAGAAAAACAAGCAACAACGACCAAGCCAAGCGCTTAGATTGCCGGCCTCAAGTTACGACGATATTCCATTCCAGCAGCGCTTGGCTTTCGATCGCCACCGTCATCGGCATCGTCATCGTCGTCCGCGATCATGATCATGTTGCGGCTACGACGACGGCGATCGTTATTATTATGCTCTTTTCACTGAATGAGCCACATTCCGGTTTAGCATTTTTTCAGCCCAGCCAAACACGGCCAGCTAAAAAGCAATCCGCACAATCCACAGTCCACAAAAGCATCCCCGAAAACCCACACAAATGTGCACAGCCATTCGAAGCCGAAGCCAGGCCCATTCTCACATTCTCAGGCCCCAAGTCCATTTCCAATTGAAAAGCCAAGTCAACAGATTCCCCCCATCCATCCCCCCTCCCCAACCCTCTTTCGATCGCTTTTAAACGTGTTCCCCCCGACTAAAAGCACACAGCGAAAAACCCAAGTCTTCCGTATTTGTATAGCTAGAGTACAGTATCTGTTGGTATCTGTCGCTGAAAAAGATTTTTAGAGAGTTTTTTAATACATAATCGTTTTTAGAACGTTCTTGTTTTAGGTTCTAGTAAAGGTCAGTCTATTGAATTTTTAATATGTTCGTTAAAGATCCATTGAACTTGTAAAATAAGCTGATCATGGTAACAGTACGAATATTAGTTTAAACTTTAAAGTCATCATCATGTTGAAAAAGTACTCTTAAGATGCCCTGGATTTTTAATTTCTTAATTAAATTGTTAATTTAATATTAATAAAATACGATATTGGTTTTGTAACAATAATATTTACATAAGGAAATGAATAAAACTCACTTTTTTCTCTGTGCAGCAAACAAGCAGCAACAACAAAACGTTGTAAAAAGGCAACAGAGCCAGTTTTTTTTTAGTTTCAAGCCTTGTTTTTGTGGTTGTTGTAGCTGCTGCATTCCAGCGATCGCTGTTGGGTTGATTTTGTTGCCTTGGCAACCAGGAATGCCAGCCACTATTCCCGTCTCCCTTACCCCGGGCTCAGAGCCCTCTCTTTCGCTCGTTCTATCTGGTAGTTTGGGTTTTAGAAATTCCAACGCAACGAAAACGAAAAGTGTGAAAAGTGAAGCGAGGAAGACAAACGTCGAACTTCGAGGCCCCCAAACCTGCTATCTCTATCTCCTTCACCTTTGCTACCCGTCTCTCTCTATATCTTATTACCGCACTCCCTCTCTCTGCCATATGTCTTTCTCCCTCGCGCTTAGCACCCCCGAAAAAAAGAGTATGAGTTTTTGAACCTGCACGTTTTTTACGTATAATGTGAGGTCAGTAACACTTTTGTTTCAAACATTTATCACGCTCCGTTTTGGCCGAGTGCGTGTAACGCTTATGACGTCAAAAACGTTGCCAACCGTTTAATGAACTCGACTTGATTGACAAGCCATTTACAATATTTTTTGGGCGAATGAGCAGATACATTAGTCTGGGAATGTTTTTGTGACTCTAGTTTTGGGGTCGACTTTAAGCTTAAGGTGAGGATTTCATTTTTCTCCATGGTAACCTATTTAAATTTGGATTTTTGAGAGATGAATTCCTGTAACATGGTCTAGAAACACAAATTGTATATTTAGTACAAAGCAAACACGTCAGGTATTTTTCAAACAATGCCCTTAACCAATTTCACGCTTGGCACTTGCATTTCTGCATATGAAGCACTGTAGGTCCTTCCTGGAAACTACGAGTGAAACCAAACTTTTCACCGGGCGTGGCGTGTGCGCCCACATTTTGAGTTTTGAAACCGGCTGCCTGATGTTGACAAACCTATTTTCTAATTTGTTTTGCATTTCACTGAGGCAGCAAAGAGAGAGTGTCAGTGGGTGGGTGGGGTGTCAGGGGAAACGTGTTTTTTTCATGTCCAAACGAAGCGTACGAGATTTTATTTAACGCTCCCGGCTCTCGAGGGGGGTTTTCAGGTTTTCGAGGGGGCTTTCAGGGGGTGCTCAAAGCCAGCTGCGTGTTTACAGATATTTTTGCGACGCTTTTTGGCCGGCCCGAAATGAAATGGGCCTGGCCCACAACTAGTTGCTCCAGAGCTCAAACACACGTGCAGACAGCCGCGCCCAAAACGCAAAGCCGCACCCCTTTCCACCCAACACCCACATCCCTCCCTTCGCCTATGCACACTATTGTCCACGCGCGCTTTTCACAAACAAAAAAAATGAGAGAGAACCGAATTTGCGTTTGTTTGTTTGCCTCAGCTTTTTTCAAGTGAGTTGCCAACTTTCGTCAGGCGGGTTTTAGGGGTAACGAGGGGCAGCGGGGGAACAGGATTTACAGATGGCAGGGTAATGGTAGGTCATGCATACATGTGTAAGTACAATCATTACGCGGGTCTCCTCTATTTGTACAGTACAACTTCCCTAAATCAAATGACAGTAGCAAAGGTGATCACAAAGAATCTACTCATCATATGTGATAATCCTAGCTGTTCTTAATTAAATGTTTACATCTGAAAACGAAAACATTTATCATGTATTTTATCTCTATCTTTTTATTGGGCTTAGGTTTTTTAAAATTAACCTTAAAGTTAAGTAAGGAAAGGTAAACGCTCGAGAGAAACCTATACACAGTTTATAAGGCATTTGCCTCTCAATTCGATTCCATTTCCAGAAAGCAATCACCTTAGGGAAGCTTGACTATATGTGTGGGATCTTTTTCCTTGCCTTTCCTTCCGGGGGAAGGGGGGTTTTCCCCATTTCCACGTTTGTCATGCAAGCAACCCACTTATGTGTCACTGTGTGTGGTTGGCTCTGTGTGCGTGTTAGGGCAACCGTTTGGTTTTTATGTCTTTTGTAAAATTTTATTTAATTTTTGAATCTTTTTTTCTCGTGAAAAGTTTAATATTTGTTTTTCATGCTTGCGATTTGCATAATTTGCACAGAAACACACACAAAGACGAAAGCACACACACTTTCATGACCTCCATTTGTGGACTAGCAATACCTGCAGGGTCTGCTGGCGAAAGAGACGGGTATAGAGCGTAAGAAAGAGAGAGGAGACACCAAAAAGGGCGGATAAGCAAGGATGTCTCCGCTCTGCTCACATGCGATATATTTTATGAATGCAAATCCCTGTTCATTCGGATTTGGTTTACTTACTTGCGGGCGGATTCCTCCTTCCTATCTGCTTTCTCCCCCTCGCCGCTGTCATCTTCACTTTCCCTTTCCTTATTTTCCTCCCCCCTTCTCCCACGTCCTGGGTACCCACACTCTTACTGCATTTTCATGTGCACATGTGGGCGAAGCACTTTTTCCTTTCGCTGTAGTTCGGTTTTTTATTCATTCATATCGCATTTTCATTCATGCGAATTCTGTGCAAAAAATCTCTCCAAATGAATCGAGAGGATTTCTTCAAAAATACCCTGCATAAATGCTAAACATCTATTTTTGGAAATATGTTTCTTTCAAATTGAGTATTTTAGATAATTAATCAGAATTACAAAGTGTTTTTGTAGTTGTAATAGTATAGTGACCTAAGATTGGTTGGATTTAAATTAAACCACCATGTATTAACATATTCTTGATTCACAAGAAAAATAGATTTGTAATACATTTGAACCTATTATAAATATTTTAATATATATTCTTCAAAAGTATTGCAATCCCGAGTTGAAATTTCCAGCATATACCCTGCAGTTCCCTATCTTTGAGGTTGAATAAAACGGAAACTGAACACTGAACTGAACTGAATATTTATTATTATTATGTTTTTGGCTTGCATGTGCTACCTGGTCCACCACCCACGGCTTACAGCCCACCCACCGACCACTCATTTCCCACTTCCCCTCACCGCCGGAAAAGTTGCCCTCGTTCCGCCGAAATCGTTAGGTCTCGGTGCGCTTTTTTGCTCGCTGCCTTTCTTTATTTATTTTTATTGTGTGGCACGGCTTAAATGCGCTTTGCAGATATTTTATGCCTGCCAACTGCCTTCGGAAGAGGTGGAAATACTCCACCCCCTCCCCCTTCTGAATGGGCGGGAATGTGGGCCAAATATGTTTATTTGACACACATCCCCAGTCAGCTCCTCTCCGCATGCAAATCTTCCCTCTTTTGCCGGCTTCCCTTATTGTTTGCATATAGAATCAAAGTTTTTTGTGTCTGAATTATCCAGCGACACGGCGCACACACACATGTGCTGTTCAAAAGAGTTTGGCTTTCTGCCACGCCCCCTTTTGTATTTTGGGGGTGGAGGCTAAATATTTACCCCCCCTTCCCCTGCTGATGGAAAATTCTCTTTTACCCTGACAAAGCAATTTTAGTTATTTTGCCGCAATTGAGTTTTGCTCGTTGCTTTTTTACTTTTTATTATTTTACGCCATTTTGGTTTAACCTTTTCATTTGAATTATTTTGTTTGCTTTGCAATTTTTGGTAGGTTGATAGAATAAATAAATACAGAATGTTTGAGGAGCCTTAGCTAAATTCAATTACGTGGTTTTGTTTTGGCACACATTTAATTCAATAGAACG